CACCCATTTTGGCACACACACACACCTCATTTTTCGTGGCCTCATAGGGAGCTCCACCGAAGGCTCTAGTGCCACCGCCCGCATGCGTCCCCCACACACATTTCGGCACACCCCTCACACGTTTCGCGGCACCACAGGGAGCTCCACAGAAGGCCCCAGTGCCACCGCCCGCATGCCAAACCCACTTCGGCACGCCCCTCACACGTTTTGTGGTCCCATAGGGAGCTCCACCGAAGGCCCCAGTGCTACCGCCCGCATGCGCCCCCCACGCCACGCCCATTCCGGCACACCCCTCACGCGTTTTGTGGCCCCATAGGGAGTTCCACCGAAGGCCGCATGCGCCACCGCCCGCATGCGTCCCCCACACCCAATTTGGCACCCCTCACACGTTTCGTGGCCCCATAGGGAGCTCCACCGAAGGCCCCAGTGCCACCACCCGCATGCGTCACCCACCCACTTAGTCACACCGCTCACACGTTTCGTGGCCCCATAGGGAGCTCCACCGAAAGCCCCAGCGCCACCGCCCGCATGCGTCCCCCACACCCATTTCGGCACACACAAACACCTCTCATTTTTCGTGGCCCCATAGTGAGCTCCACCAGAGGCTCCAGTGCCACCGCCCGCATGCGTCCCCCACGCCCATTCGGGCACACCCCTCACACGCTTCGTGGCCCCAAGTTCCACCGAAGGCCGCACTGCCACCGCCCGCATGCGTCACCCACACCCATTTCGGCACACCCATCATATGTTTCGCGGCCCCATAGGGAGCACCACCGAAGGCCCCAGCGTCACCGCCCGCATGCGTCCGCCGCACCCATGTCGGCGCATCCCTCACAGCGTTCGCGGCCCCATGGGGAGCGCCACCAAAGAAGATATTCACAATTGCGGTACTCACAACTGAATATGGTTTGGTGTTTCGCCAGGCTACTTGTTTGGGAAGGGGGCGCCCCCACAACCTTTTCGTTTCGTATTTGAAGAATCACAACGGGCGGTTTCTGACCCTTTTCGGCTCCAGGTGGCCCGCACCAAGGCAGGGTGGGGGGGAACGCCGCTCCCAGGGAAGGGATGTTGACCTCGTGGTCATGAAGCCTGGTACAACCCATAACCCTAAGAACAGTACGAACTCGTGGTCTAACTTGGGTCCACTCTTTTCGGGGATATCCCTAAGCACATGGATGGTCTCTTTTTGATTTCTCTGCAATGAAAAAGACCCCATATCCCTGATGGTCTCGTCTCCCCCTGACTTGGTTCCCCTCCCAAAGAATTTGGGATACCTCTACTGCCTATCATGCAGGTGGCCACGCTGTAAAACCTTGCGGCGTCGGAGATCTGAGGCCACCCCTGGCACTTAGTTTAAACCCTTCCCAGTCCCTTTCAGGACCGGACAGGTCCGCTCTCCCAGCTTGGAGGAGGAGAAGGAGGAGACTTTTCGCCCAAAATCGGCCTGTAGGGGGACATGGCCGATCGAACTGTTTGGCCAGAAGACTGCAGCGTGCCAAAGGTCTCAAGAGGGGAACACAAACACAGACACAAATAAAAGTCGATGCCCAGGAAGCTATGAGAGACTATGGGAATTGAGGGTGAAGACGAAAGCCCCGAAGATATAGAAACATATAGGGAATCCTGGGATTTGTGTCTGTTAACTTGTGTGTCCCAGGGCCCCTTCAAGGTCGCTTTGGCTAGGGCTATCCTCACGGCGCAGCCGAGCACAGGGGGTTACCCCCGTCGTTATGAAGGCCTCTGGGTGCTGAGGGAGTTCTCGCTCACACGGCGTGGCGCGGCTCCGGAAGTTGCCAGAGATCGCGAGCGACGAACATGCCCATAACTATCCATGTTTTCGCGGTCTCGGTATCGAGGCGAGATCCTCTTCAGAAATCGGCCTCAAGAGAGTCCTAAGCTGGCCCGAGAGGGCCTCTGGAGAGATCCAAGACCGTGTTAGAGAGCCTTTCTATGTGCTCAGACGGTCCATACTCAGCCCCACGACGAGCGTAAGGGACCCCCTCGACGGCCAAGAGTGCCTTAAGACGGCCCAAGACAGCGCGAAGAGACGGCCAAGATGACTCCAAGATGGGCCAGGGGCCCAAAGGACCCGCAAGACTGCCCCACATTAGCCCAGGGAAGGACGGACTGAAGGGAGAAAGACGACGAAGACGAGAAGATAACTCGAGAACCACCCGACACGCCGCGGAAGAGCATTGTCATTTGCCGCGGCTCTGCCAGGCCGTTGGGTACGAGGTGTCACGCGTTACGGCGTTACGGCCTCCCGTGTGCCACCAGAGCAGTCGCCGCCAGGGTGCTGGGCACGGTCCATGAGTTTGGCCTCTCCAGGCCCTCCGGGGGGTCCTCTGTGGTCGCCCTCTTGTGCCGTCTTGGGGGCCTCGTCTTGAGGCCATCTTAGACCGTCTGTGGGCCATGTTCTGCCGTCTCGCGGGCACCTGAGGCCATCTTGCCGGTCTCGGTGGCATGCCTCGGCCATCTTGGGAGCTCGGGAGCGCGAATCTATAGTTCCTCAAACACTGATTGCAGGTCAGGTTTTTTGTTTCTATTGTTTCTGAGCAGCTAGGAGGGTCCGCCGAGGGATCGCAACGCAGGCGCCCGTGCTGCCTCGTGGGCGGTCTTGTCCAGGACCCACACACATACATCACCATCGCGGGCTGGTTTTCTGTCATGGGGGTTGATCGGGCTATTGAAGGCGGTGGGTTGCGGGGTGCGTCAAACCTCGCGACAATCACATGTCGCGTGTGCAACGTCATGTGGGCACGCGGCTGTATGCGCAAAACACACCACATTCACGCGGCGCCCAAAAATCTTGGGCGCCTCGTGCCCTGAACAGGTCCGCCGAGGTTTCGCCGCGAATCGTGGTCTGGAGGTGCTCGCCGATGTCTTCACGCCCGGGGAGCTGCCTCCCTCGCGGTGCGCCCCGCCGCCGCTGGCTCCTTGGTGCAGCCGCCGCCGCGGGCCCGCCGGCGGGGCTGGCCGCGCCACGCGCTCCGGGCGTAACCCGTCCCCCTGAGCGGCTCGCTCCCTCCGCTTCCGCTTTCGGCCGCCCCCTTGCCCCTCCCCCTCCTGCATGGTGGCTCAGTTCGCTCTGACAGCACCCCCGTTTAGGCCTTTACGCTAGCGCAGGCGACCCCTGCCTCGCCGCCGACGCAAAACAATGTTCACCGATGCCGCCTCGTATTTTTTCTTCGACCCAGACCCTGGGTGGGCAACGTAGCTTACCGACCATAGCTCAAACCGCACAACTGATTACGCATAGCTGACGCAACATAGCGCACAATACGTAGGTCACATCGCACAGCTTACACAACACAGCTCACACCACCTAGCTTCGACACCGTGGTTTACACCACATTGCATATTCCGCATAGCGTGCACCTCCACGGTGTAAGAACCCAGTGTTTGGGTGCCGCGTTGGCTATCGTTTTCATTCGGCATCGTGGTGGGGGGCATGCACAAACCAGACCTGATTGGGAGGTGGGATTCTGAGAATGTTACAGAAACCCCGCCGGACAGCATTTGGCATTACGTCACGCCTACAGCTGCGTACTGGCTACTAGGTAGCACGGTGTTGGACGAACCGCGATCCCACGGATACGTTCCGCGCGGGGCATCCATGGAACTTCGCCCTGTATCGATGCGGTCGTGCCCGAGGAGTCCAGTCCGCGAGGCCGTAGATATGGATACAATCGAAATCCATAGTAAAGGACGCGCACTTGTGTCTAGGGTGCACTTGGGTCCCTTCGGCCTCTGCCTCTGCGTCCCGGGGTGCTACGGCCGCCCAAACTATCCCAATTTCGGTTTCCAAGGGTCTTGCGTCCTAACCACGCGTCCCTAACATAGATCTTGGCTGTGGCCGCGCTGCCCGTCGCCCTGCCAGCGGGCCCGTGCCGCTGGCAGGGCGACGGGTCCCGGTCGGCGTTGGCCCTAGCAGGCAGCAGTGCCCCCCCTGCCGTGAAGTCGGGCATGCCCCTTTTCAGGAGGAGTATCAAACAATAGGCAAGCCATATCACATGGGGACGATTCTCCTACTATCTTCGACTGTTTCTGAAGTTTCGACCAGAATCCGCCTTCAGGAGGACATGCCCGACCTAATCCTGCCATCTCAGAGGCCCTCCCCCATGACCCCCCGGCTTCTGAGGAGCGCCCTGCGTTCCTTGAAGGCCGCCCCCCCCCTTCCCTCCCCCCCTCTCGCCCCGCCCCCGCCCCCTTGTGGCAACGACAGGGAGGATAGGGAGAAGGGGGAGGGATGACGCATCAACCCCCAGTCGCCTAGTGGTCGACGAGGGGACCTGCCACCCCCACCTGGCCCAGGATCGTGCGGATTCCACACCGGGGGCCCGTCGCCGACCTATCGGCCGTGCGTCGCCGCTTCAAGGCTGATGCCTCCCCATCCTGCTGAGCCGATCCCCCCCCCCGAAGCGCTGCGCTTCAGACCCTGCGACAAGGTATCGCTGATTCCTTCGGTAGCAGATCACGGGAGCCTGGTACACCCTCGTAGTTCCGTCTGCAGCGTCGACTGGCACCGATTCGCGTGAGTCGACGAGGTAGCGCCGATTCGGCGTCGGCTTGCGCCGAGTAGCGTCGAGGTAGCGTCGATCAGCGTCGACTGGCGTCGATTAGCGTCGATTCGCAGGAGCCGACGGGATGGTACGGAAGGCCCTCATGAGTTGCCACCGAAGATTCCAGGCCGATGCTTCCCCACTGTGCCAGTCCCCACCCCCCCCGGGTGTCGTGCCTCCTCGTCCTCCTCCTCCTCCTCCTCCGCCTCCCTCCTCCTCCTCCTCCTCCTCCTCCGCCTCCTCCTCCTCCTCCTCCTCCTCCTCCTCCTCCTCCTCCTCCTCCTCCTCCTCCTCCTCCTCCTCCTCCTCCTCCTCTCCTCTCTCTCTCTCTCCTCCTCCTCCTCCTCCTTCTCCTCCTCCTCCTCCTCCTCCTCCTCCTCCTCCTCCTCCTCCTCCACCTCCTCCTCCTTCCTGCGTGCCCGCCGCCCCGCGGCCGAGGAGTTCAAGGGCTGGTCCTACTGCAGCGGCCTCCTGGAGCTGGGCGGCGGCGGCGGCGTGCCGTGGCTGGGGCCGCTGCGGCAGAGCGAGGGGCAGGGCTGCGCGGGCGGCCTGCGCGGCGAGGCCTGAGGAGAGGAGGGAGGGAGGATGGGGGAGAGGGGGGAGGGGCAGGAGGAGGAGGAGGAGGAGGAGGAGGAGGAGAGGGGAGGAGGGGGAGGAGGCCGGAGGAGGAGGTGGAGGAGGAGGAGGAGGAGGAGGAGGAGGAGGAGGAGATGGGGAGATGGGGGAGGAAGGAGGAGGAGAGAGGAGGAGGAGGAGGAGGAGGAGGAGGAGGAGGAGGAGGAGGAGGAGGAGAGGAGGAGGAGGAGGAGGAGGAGGGAGGAGAGGAGGAGGAGGATGAGGGGAGGAGGAGGAGGAGGAGGGAGGAGGAGGAGGAGGAGGAGGAGGAGGAGGAGGGAGGAGGAGAGGAGGAGGAGGAGGAGGAGAGGAGGAGGAGGAGGAGGAGGAGGAGAGCGGCGGCCGAGGAGGAGGAGGAGGAGGAGATGGGACCAAGCACCGCTACGATAGATGGGACGGGGTCGAAGGGAGCATGGAGAGGTCTTCTTCGTCCTCCTCCTCCTCCTCCTTCTCCTCCTCCTCCTCCTCCTCCTCCTCCTCCACCTACCTGTGGTAGCGGTGGTGGAACATCGGGCCATCAAGGCCGGGTACCGCGGCAACCTGGCGACCACGCTGGAGCAGTGCAAGGCGCTCTGCGCCGCGGAGGATCGAAGAAACGCCATGAGGCATGAGCAAATCAAGAAAACGGGGCCGTCGACGTGGACATTGGCGCGTAGGCTACCCGCGTAAAACCGCGCGTAAGCGCCTTCGTCTCTAATATAGCGTGCCGTGCCAGTGGCCCGCACAAGCCGCGGCGTAATGTCGCTGCGTCATCTCGTGTAAGACCCATTTCTGATCGTCGCTCGCATGATTTGTTCGCGTTTCGCTCCGAGTTCTTGGATCCGCGCTGCCCCCCCTCCCCCCCGGCGGCGCCCCCGGCGGCGCCCCTGGCGCGCTCCGCGCGCCAGGAATGGGGTCCAGCGCAGATCCATGACATCCGCGCGGACCGTCGAAAGTTTATGTTTATTCAGTTTTTTTTGTTCTAGAGGAGGCGTGCAGCTACATCACCTTCTCGGGTGTCGCCAGAAGTGCCCCCTGGCCCAAGATGCCCCCCCGGGATTTTCCAGGAGGCCCCCACGCCTCCAGAGTACCCCTCACGGGGCCCCGAGGGTCCCAGGGGTCTCCAGAATTGAGCGAGAAAAGCTGGGGGCACCTTGGGGCCATGGGGCAGCTTTAGCAACCCCCGACCTTCTACACAAGCGTCGCCGGATGCGAGGAGGAAGCGTGCCTGGTGGGGCTCCAGCCCACCCGCTGCCGCCTGTCGGAGTCCTGCGAGCTGGCGCCGGCGGGGGACTTGCTGGCGGTGGTCTTCCAGAAGCAGGCTGCCGCGTCCGACTGGGAGGGTACTCCATCTGCCCGCTTTCGTAAGGGTTTCCTCCTCGGCGCCCTGACCATCGGCCTGATGGCGGTATGCCTGATGTGCGGGCCTTGCTTCAAGCTGGAGCGGCAGAGCGCGCGAGGCGACCTGATATTCAACAACGGCAGAACTATCCTCGAGGGTGCGGACACTGACGACCGCACGGACCCGATATGAGTTGCATGAGCTGCGAGGGCCGGCGTCCTCGTGTTTTTTTTCCAGGCCTCGTTCAGCGTTTGGCTCGTAGTTATTGACTAGTGACTAGTGCGGGGCGCGCTATATAGCAGTAGCGGTGACCAACGTTCTGAGTCACCTCCCTCGTTTCTTAATTGTGTGTGTTGCGTGGGGTGTGGTGACCAACGTGACCTTCCTGGCGCAGTCAGAAAAATACATGCGGCTTTGACTGCCAGCTAGCATGCATGGTGTCTGCAGCCTGCAGAGGCGTACGGAAGCAGCGGCCCGCTTCAGGTGCAGAAGCCATGTCTGTTCTGCCCCGTCGATCTTCGTGCGCGCGGTCTCCGTGGCGGTCACGGAAATCAATCAGTTGCGAAGCGTCTTGGCTCGCCTATAGCCCTACCAACCTGCTTGTGGTTTCCACGACATGTTCTTAGAACATTTCTGGTTGGGACTGTTTTGTTTTAATTCGTCGGGCTTATGTTCTAAGAACATTGTTTTTGTTCTCAGAACATTTCTGGGTTCTAAGAACATATCATAATCGGCCTACAGGAATGCCGGGACGATCGGTCCCTGCTCAAGGAAAAGAGGGTATTGTTTCGAACGTCTGCGTCGGATAGCCTGTTCCTGGTCCTTCGCCCCCCCCTCCGCACGAAGGAGTTCATCGGGAACGCCGCCGGCCACCTCACGGGCGTCAAGATCGTCGACCTCGAATGGACCCACAAGGACAGATGCCACAGAGGAGGAGGAGGAGGAGGAGGAGGAGGAGGAGTAGGAGGAGGAGGACGACGACTACGAGGGGGCAGCGTGAAGGGGGAAGAGGAGGAGGAGGAGGCGGAGGAAGAGGAGGAGCAGGAGGAGGAGGAGGAAGAAGAAGAGGAGGAGGAGGAGGAGGAGGAGGAGGAGGTGGAGGAGGAGGAGGAGGCGAGAGAAGGAGGGAGCAGGAGGAAGAAGAGGAGGAGGAGGAAGAGGAGGAGGAGGAGGATGAGAAGGAGGAGGAGGAGGAGGAGGAAAAGGAGGAGGAGGAGGAAGAGGGGGAGGAGCAATCGCAGGCATCGAGGTGATCGGGCGTGTCTGGTCCGCCCTGGGCCCCCGCGCGCAATCCCCGGGCCTTCGCCTCCGAGGGGTCTCTCTGGGAACTACTTCTCGACGTGCTCGCCGCGGGCGGCGCTGGCTGGCGAGCCCTGCCCAAGGCAGGCCCGAGCTCCAGCCCTGCCATCGATCGAGAACTGCAGGGCCTCAGTTAGGGGAAGCACAAGTGACACAAACATAACAACTCGGAGGTCCGCGCGGACTTCTCGGATCGGCGCTGGACCCCCCTCCCTGGCACGCGGAGCGCGCCAGGGGCGGCGCCGGAGGCGCCGCCGGGGGGCCCCAGCGCCGATCCGAGAAGTCCGCGCGGACCTCCGAGTTTTTATGTTTATGCCACTTTTTGTTCCCCTAGTAGTGGGCCCTGGAAACGACAGGGCCCTTGTATTGCGGGCACCGTTTTGCTGTTCTCTGGGTTCCCTTTCCGGCCCTGCCTCTGGGCCTCCAAACAATGAGTCCTGATTGGGGCCGAGGGATCGCGCCGCATCGCCAATGCGGCTCGATGCGGATCCCCCATCTTCTCCGCGCTGGCGTCGCGGATGCATCGTCGGCGTCGCTGGTGCATCGCCGATGCATCGGTGATGATGCATCCTCGATGCATTGCCGATGCGGCGCGATCCTCCAGCCCCATCTATTCGAACGCCGTCCAGGAGGCCTCTACTGCCGTCGAGCGAGGACTGCAGGGCCTCAGTGGGCCCTGGGGACGACAGGGCAGTTGTTTTGCCGGTTCCGCTCTGCTGTTTTTGTTGTTGGTTCTGGTGCCGTTGTTTTTCCCAGTTCCGTCGCCGTAGTGTGTCCCGTTCCGGTTCCGGTCTCAAGTCCTGAGCCGTCTTATTTGCCGTTTCCGGATGCCGTTTCTCTTCACCATTTTTTTTTTCAAGTGGGTCTCTGTTTCGGGAGCGGTGAGAAAATGGCCTTGCCGTTTCTGGGGCCCACTGAGTGCAGAGCTGCATGTTTTTGTTGCGTCGGCGGCTCGGCCGAGTCATTGCGCTGGCGAGTCGCTGCCGAAACGGGGGTGCCGTTGCGGCGCAGTGTGCCACCGTGCAGGAGGAGGGGGCGGGGAGAGGAGGCGGCCGAAGGAGGGGGCGGGAGGGGAGCGAGGCCGAAGTTGCATGAACATGTTATGAGTCAGGAGGGAAAAAAACACAGACACAATCGTCGATTAATCGTCGATTCTCCAGAAAATCTAGGACATTCTCCAGATTAATCTAAGACGATTAATCTAAGACGATTAATCTAAGACGATTAATCTAAGATCTCTAGGAAAAATCCAGATTAATCTCAGACGAATAATCGTCGATTAATCGTCGATTCTCCAGAAAATCTAGGACACTCTCCAGATTAATCTAAGACGATTAATCTAAGACGATTAATATAAGACGATTAATCTAATACCTCCAGGAAAAATCCAGATTAATCTCAGACGATTAATCGTCGATTAATCGTCGATTAATCGTCGGTCCTGGAGAATCGACGATTAATCGTCGATTCTCCAGAAAATCTAGGAAGATATGGGAAGCGGGGGGGAAGACAAAGGCCCAGAAGATATGGGAAAATATTGGGAAGCCTTTTGTTTGTGTGTAGTTATTTGTGTGTCCGAGGGCCCCTTCGATGAGGAAAATCCGGGAGGCCTCGCGCGGGGCGCAACATTTGTTTTACCTAGTCTACACGTCAGCTCCGTAGGGTATGGGTCGACGCCCGCGCGGCGATGCTCCGGCGTCAGTCCGACGGAAATCCGACGCACATCTGACGCAATTCGACGTGAGCCCGACGCAGATCCGACGCGGATCCGACGTGGATCCGACGTGGATCCGACGTCATCGGGTCTCAGGCTGCTGCGCGAGGCCTCCAGGAGTTTCTTCACAAGACATGCGTGTTCGGAGGTCCGCGCGGATTTGCGGCGTCGGCCTGGGGGCACCCCCCCGCGGCGCCCGCGGCGCGGCCCCTGGATCAGGAGGGGGAAAAACACACAGACAAAATTCATCGTCGGTTCCCCGGAAAATATGGGAAAATACGGGAAGCGGGGGGGGAAGACAAAACATCCAGAAAACATAGGAAAACATGGTTTTGTTTTTTTATTTGTGTGTATTTATTTGTGTGTTCCAGGGCCCCTTCATGGGGGCACACCCCCCCGCGGCGCCCGCAGCGCGGCCCCGGGAGCCCTTCGCGCGCCGTGGTGGTGGTGGTCCAGCATCGGCGCCGGAGAGATCCGCGCAGACCTCCCAACGTCGATGTCTATGCCGTTGTCGAACCGGGGATGCACACCGGTCGTTGAAAGTAGGTATTTCTGGATTTTACCAGCCTCGAGCGTATCCCTATCCCCAAGATGGGCACGCCAAAAGGCGATGACAATCCTAGGGATTCGCCCTGAAAAAAAAGGGGATCGCCAAGATTGGCATCGTGATGAGGAGGTGCCCAGCACAGGGATAGGGATATGTTCCAGGCTGGTAAGGATTCCCAGATCCCAATCTACTTTAGCCGCCTTCCTACTTCAATGCTCGAGTGGCTTCACCGTCTCCGTCCTCTTTAGGGGGCGGCCGACACCCAATCTATGTTCAACGCTTTCCTGCGTCATGCTTCTACCTACTGCTTCCGATCGATGGGTATTGGTGTCTGGATGTTTTCGATGGGAAGGCAATGCTCGCAGCGAAACCGTCGGCGAATCGTGCGCAGAGCAGGGAGGAGAAACCACACGGACCCCATACTTGGCGTTCACTAAACGGCCCTGGGCGTTCACTAAACAGCCCTGCCCTGTTCGATTCCTTCTTCGGGTGCGTCTACTCCACTGAATGGGTCGGGCGCTCTGGGGGCACCGTAATGACAAGAGCAGGCCGCCAGGCCTGTGGGGACACATCTGCACAGGAGCACGATTCATCGTCCGAGGTCAAAGGCGTTGCCTGGTACAGCTGTGATCGAGCGCCGCCGCACGCGGCTGCGCACGGCGCGCGGCCGTCGGCATCTCGGTTTGCGCTGCCAGTGGCCTGGCACGGCAGGGACGCAGTCGCGCACGGACCGCCCCCAGAGGTGGACCGGTGAGGCTGGTCTCGGCTGGCCCCCAGGGTAGTCCACGGCGGTGTCAGCCCTCTTCTCCGACTCTGGGCGGGCTGTTGAGACCGCCCCGGGCTATTAACACACTCCTTCCATACCTTTTGGGCGGTCGGCGAGGAGGGAAGAGGTCGAGGGAGAGCTGCCCCCTCCATTGGCGAGGCCTCTTGCTCGCGCGTGCCCGCTGAGCCCGCGGGGGCCCTGCCGCGGCCAGTCGGAGCTGCCACCCCTGCGGCAGCCCATGTGCACCCCCGAGGCCTTGCCGACGGAGGGGTTGGCATCGCTCGGACGTGTGCATATCTTCTCTCGGCGCGGACCACCGCGAAGCACCCTGGACCACATCGCACCGCACAAACAATATACACTTTTTTGGTATTCGGGGCGAGAGCGAACCTCTTCCGCTAAGAGCTAGGCGGGCTACGCGAAGCTTTAACTAAGGAGACAGGGCACAGGAAGACGGGGCCTCAGGCGGCAGGAGCAGGTGGAGCCGGGGGGGCGGGCGGTGCCGAAGGAGCTTGCACAGAGAAGGTACGCCGCGGACGAGGACCGGGGGCGAAGCACAAACAATATACACGCACGGAGCCGAAGAGCAGGCGCGGGGAGGGGGAGCCCGAGCGAAGCGATGGCCCGGGGGGAGAGTCGCCGGGCAGGGCAGGGAGGCCCTGCGGGGGGCCGGAGGCGTGCTCCGCGCGTGGCGTTGGAGAGGCCTCCCCCTCTGGCGCGGCAAGGAAGAGGAGGAGGAGGAGGAGGAGGAGGAGGAGGAGGATGAGAGAAGAGGGGAGGAGGAAGGCCGGGAGGAGGAGGAGGAGGCGGAGGGCGGAGGCGAGGCGGAGGAGGAGGTAGGCTGGAGGAGGAGGAGGAGGAGGAGG